TGCACAGATACTTGTGTATACTACAGTACATATGTGCTTTGAATAAAAGTATTGTTTTAAGTAAAGTAACAACTAATGGAATTATTTAGTAAAGTAATGCAAATTGTTCTGATAAACAGAAACCCATAACAGCAAATAACATTTCTGCTTTTTTTTAAAGGGAGAATGGGAAATGACTTAATACATTGCTTTTTTTGACCCATTTAATATATAAAAGCTACTGTAGCACTTAAAAAATCACCATTAAGCTGAAATTTCAGGCGCTAAAATGAGTATACCACACCCATGAAGATATCACACAACATGACCCTAAAATAGGACTCTCCTAAATATTAGAAAACAAATATCGCAAAAATGTTTGTATTCAGATAAATATACATGGCTAATACATTAACTTCAACAGGAAGAATCACACATGTATTATGCATATTTTCAGAAAAATCAATTTGAAAGAAAAAATACTTTTTTTTATCACAATTGTGTATAGATGAAGTTGCATGTTTCTGCTACCTTTTTAGGTGATCTGAAAATTTAGAGGTTTGAATCTCACCAATGGCCACACACACAGTAATAAAATTCTCACAGTGAATCTAATTCTTGCCTAATTTATCCAAAAATTAAAAAAAAAAAGCCTTTACATACATTTTAATGTCATGACTTAAGCCCTGTCCACACTGGCTGAACATTGGCAAAAAACGGCAGGTACAGTAGATACTGGTCAACATTCAGCCCATGTGTACAGGTTCTTGTTTGACAAGCGATTTCACAGCCGGCTTCTGTCGAATGAGCTTGCTGAAAAACCAGCAGCCAATCCGAATCCAATAAGTGCTCTCAGCCAATGACTGTGAGTGCTGATCGGTGTGTTCTGGTCTGAAAATTTAGAGGTTTGAATCTCACCAATGGCCACACACACAGTAATAAAATTCTCACAGGGAATCTAATTCTTGCCTAATTTATTCAAAAATGTAAAAAAAAAAAAAAAATGCCTTTACATACATTTTAATGTCATGACTTAAGCCCTGTCCACACTGGCTGAACATCAGCAAAAAATGGCAATTGAAAGGGATCAAATACTTATTTCCCTCATGAACATGGAAATCACTGCATAATTTGTTAGACATGCATTTTTTTTAAATTTTTGCTTGCTATTCTGTCTCTTATTGTTACAATACACCTACCTTTCGATTTTTAGACTGATCATTTCTTTGTGAGTGGGCAAACTTTCAAAATCAGCAGAGGATCAAATACTTATTTCCTTCACTGTATATATATATATATACACACACACACACACACACACACACACACACACACACACACACACACACACACACAGACACACACACACATATAGAGAGAGAGAGAAAGAGAGAGAGTTATCAAAATATAATTTTTTTTATGATAGTGGTCTAATATGTGACAAGTAAGTTGTAAGTCAATATTAGCAAAACGTCTGTCTATTCACTGAGCATTACAAATGTAAAAATGCTGTTAAAAAACATACATGTGCTATCAAAATGCCATACTATGACAAAACATCACCATACAGCAACAAAAAAGGCATCAGTTGTCATAATGTGAAGGTTCTTCAATATATTTGCCACTATGTTCCTGGCAGGGTGTCCCATGCTGTTATCAAGTGGCCCATTCACTCAGAAAGTCCCTGGCAGATAACACCATGCAGTCATTGAGGGGGATTTACTAAAACTGGAGCACTCAGAATTTGGTGCAGCTGTGCATAGTATCCAATCAGCTTCTAACTTCAGCTTGTTCGATGAAGGTTTGACAATAAAAACTGGAAGCTGATTGGTTTCTATGCAGAGCTGCACCTGATTTTGCACACTCCATTCTTAGTTACCACCCTCCCCCCCAATATGTTCCTACAGAGCTGCTATATATCCCTGGTAGGTTCCCTGTGTGATCTGTATGTGCTCAGTAGGGTAAGTGTTTTGGCACACCCAATTCAGTAGCCTTGTTCCTAATTGAGTACCCTATACAGCCATGGTATTGCTAGAGGACACTCTCAAGTTATACCAATGTCTCTGGTCCCAGAATTGCACTATACAGTCACAGAAACCTTGTTAGGGTGCCCCCCGAGGTTGACATGCACTGACAAAGTAGTACATGGCCAACCTAGCATAGGCCTTTCAACATGGCCTACCCAAAGCACAACATATTCTCCTATTGGACCTTCCTCCCCCTTTCTGAGATGACACTGTCTACACTTTGATTGAGAGATTGTAATCAGAAAGTTAAAAGGATGATTGAGAGAAGAATATTTTGTAATATATGACTAGATCATGCTGTAGGGTTTGCAGTCACTATATTCCAGGCAAGGTGTCCCATGTAGTCACCTTGTCCTTGCCAAAGCGCTTAATGCAGTGTGCATATGCCTGTCAAAGAGTCTCTTTTAGATTTCTAAGCCCCTGGCAGAGTGTGTAGCACAGCAATTGGAACACGGGTACTCTCTATAGCCTCTGGAATTAAAACTCACTTGTACTCTGAAGACTTGGCAAGGGCTGATTTGTACTATTTCATACAAAGTTACAAAGAACAGCAAGGTAATTGCTAAATGAAATTTGTTTTGATGGCACAATACAAAAAGGAAAAACATATGCTAAACACAAAAAAAAGTTTACATAGAAAAATTACAAAATGGTCAATATATACTGTATGTATGTATGTATATATATATATATATATATATATACACACACATTGAGATAGCACTATCCCATGGGGTCAGTTAGTTGATACTTGTCCCCTGTTGTTGCCCTGCCCTTACAAGCCCCTTGGCCCTTCTGACACTGTGTTGATTCATACATGTGCGGTGCGGATTAAAGCTCAGGTTTCACAGCTAATTGACACAGTAGTTGTTAAGTGATTCAGGTCAGGTTTACATCAGGTTCAGGACAGGTTTAGATCGGGTTCAGGATTTATCTTGTTCTCAACAGATGACATGTTCGCACTGCCAGTGCACCGGACATACAGTATGTGAACAAGCACAATAGGAAGCAATGCTATTTCACATGTCATGTGGACTGGAATCCGCATATATGTGAACCGGCACTCTAGGTTCAGACAAGGTTAGATAAAATAACAATGCTTACGTTAATAGTTGTGAAGGATATTGGCAAAGGAATCAATGAAAGAAAAAGACACAATATTATAGTAACTGCCATTATATTGCGCACTGGTAGAAAATAGCTCGGTTAACAGTTAAACTGCTCACAATAATTACAGGACGTAAACACAAAGTTCACTGAATTCCAGCTATAATATTGTGGGGTAAAGAAGCACTATAAGAATGATAGACAAATATAATCTGCAAACTGAATATGATCAATGTACACAAACAATAACTGTTAAGAGTGCAACACTGATTAAAAGGGGGAGAGATGAAAAAAACTCATCAGCTCCCTCTGGATCATTGGTGCACTGAAAAAAATAATACTAGATATCCCTTGTTAGCAAGAAATGTTGTATAAAGGTAGAGAGCGCCTACTTGAATGGATATTAAGTTAGGGACAGTTTCCATTGGAAAAGTCATCTTCTGCTAGCAATTTTGGGCCCTTTAATGATGATGAAAGTTATAGGCCAGTAGTGTTAGGCTGGTAAGCAACTGAAATGGTAGCCTCAAAGGTTCCTCTATTGCTTGAGTAAACATTGTCTACTAGCAGTGTCTCTGAGACATTGGATAACAGAAAGGTGTTGGGCACCTGCCTGCTTACCTATCATGATATGAATGCAACCTCTGCAGGGTCAGGATGTGCTGTGCACGTCCTTGAATCTAAGCTGAGAGAACAAGCCATGATCTCACAGTAGGCAGCAGAAGAACTGTGAAGGTTTCTGAGTGAAGATGGACATCTGCAACACCCAGAATAATAATCTGCGACATAGCTAAACAGATTAGCTGTATGGACGTCAATGTCACCAGCTAAACTGTTGGGTTCTGCTGTGACTGAGTGCAGAACAACAGCCTCCATCCGTCCTGTCAGGAGTCCCTAGCCAAGAGTATGAGCTTTGAAAAAAACTACTTGAAAAAAGGTAATAGTTACAGGCAGGAGAGATAGCAGCGTCAGACAAGCTGGGCCAGGATCAATCAGGCAGATCAGGTACAAGGGAGCAGGCAAGCGGATAGTCAGAGGATAAGCCGGGTCGGTGCATGCGGAGTTCTTTCGTAGTCAGGGTCAGATAAAATACAGGCAACAGAATCAGGTTATTGAGTGCAAGACTTTGTAGAGCAGAAGGCATAGGCTAAAGTGTACTGGTGATTTAAATAGCTCGCCTGGCGATGATGTGCACACCGGTGCGTGTGTGCGTAACCGCGTTCTCCCATGCATGTATACATGCACCGCCACGGCTGACAGGGATCCAGGGCCGGTGCATAGATGTGCGCCAGTGAATGGGTGATCCTTGGCAGTGCCCCCCCCTATGGGCAGTCTACGGATGCCCAACTGGGCCATTTTCTCTGGGTACCTGCGCCTGAATGCCAAGATTAAGTCTCTAGCATGGATGCTGGATTCTGGTTCCCATGAATCATCTGCGGGTCCATATCCTTTCCATTTAATTAAATATTGGAGCTAGTTTCTCCTCTTTCTGCAGTCAATAATTGTATCTACCTCATATTCCTCTTTGCAATTAACGATCACCGGCTCAGGTGGCCCCGATTCCCGACCAGGAAAAGGGTTAGAGAGGTTTTGAGCAGTGATACATGGAATACAGGGTGAATCCTTAGTGACTCCGGTAATGTAAGCTCATGTGTTATGTCATTAATTTTTCTTTTTACTAGGAAGGGTCCCACGAACTTGGGACCTAGCTTCTTTGAGGGACAAGTCAATTTTAAATTGGCTGTTGACAACCATACCTCTGTGAGATGGGGAAACAGCTCTCATTGTTTCAACACTGTTTGTGTGGAAGTAAATTATTGTGTGGAGTAAATGTTTTGACTGACATTCTGCGGTTTAGCCACAAGATGTCACTGTTTTTCTAACACAGCCTCAGACTGCATAGATATTTGTATATTCATGAAGAGGTGAAGTTTTCACACAGAGTGGAGAGAGAACAGGCAGGAGAGGGAGAAGCCATGTTTTGGAGCATGGTGAATAAGGGGCCCTGTGAGCTGAGAATCTGATGACATCCCGGTGTGAAAGCATCCCTCAGTAACCAGAGCTGCAGCTAAGTGAAGCTGATTGTGTCCAAGACCCTGATCCTGTTCAGAGAAAGGAACATTGCTGCCAGGAATGCTGATGAATGCTCATGGCTGACAGGGACCCAGCACTGGCGCATAGATGTGCCCCGGTGAATGGGTGATCCCTGACAGACAGAATGCAGACTGCCAACATTGGAGGTATTGGGCCAATGAACAGGATAAGTACAGAATATCTGGGTATAAAAACAGTTCAAACAATACACAGGAATAATCCAAGGCATGAACAGTCAAACAGAAGTCAAAGACTGTCAAACCTCTATCCAGGGGGTAAGGAAACACTCAAAGGCTAAATTTCCAGCATTCAATTTACCCATTTTTAATTAGGGTACAGGTGTGCACTGCAGAGACTTTAGATGCAGTGCTGTGTAATGACCAGCAGATGGTGAAAAATCAAGGCTGACCATTTCATAGGTCATCATTGGAGAATACATATGAGTAGGTTGTTATACTAACTGTTTAGCAAATAGCTTGTTGACATCTTATAATAGAAAGTTTTAGTATTAGTATCCTTTTGTCTTTTGTTTAATTTTATATTAATAAAAATCCACACTATGATCTCTTTAATCAGTTTCACTAAGCAAAGACATATTTCTTCTCCTTTATTTCCTTTTTTACATTGGTTGCATGTGAAAAGTAGCTAAAATCCCAGCAGATCTCATTATTCTCCAAACCCCCTGCTCTAGGAAGGTCTGAAAGGTCCTTTATCTAATGATTTAGAGAGGTTCCTATTAGAGGAACTGACTGAAGCGACAGAGCTATAGAGAAAGAAACAAGCTATTGACAGCCAAGAGAAAAGACATTTTAATATGAGGGATGATAGTGAGGAAGATGAAACATTCATGGGCTGACTGTTGTTAAACCATTTACATTATGCAAAATTCTATCAGCTGAAATGCATGGGATAGTTACATCAGTATTCACATCAAAATGATAAAATGTCTATTTGTGTTTAAAGACTGGCCACTAGAGTTTGCCTGCTGGTAAGCTTTGCTTTGAATGTTTTTATTTATTTATGTCTTCCAAAGTTGGTACTCTCATAGATTAGGGTAGTAATAACAAAGGTGCCTTGATAGACATTTTATAGGAGTTCCGCTGGTTGAATGAAAGAAAAATGAATAATATATAGCCAGACTTATCCTCGGGGGCTTTGGATGTTACCATTGCTGATCCATTCTTGTTGGCTGTCTGTAATACTGATCCAATGTCTTTGGTACTTTCTCACTCTCTACCTAGAAAATATGACTAAAAGAAGTTTTGGCTTCACTCTGATTTTCAAGTTTGCATGCTTGTTCTAGGTCAGTGACTAAGGAAATTCTGTAGCCGGAGACAGCCTGGCACCTAGCATATTCAGTAGGAACTCAGTCATGACCGCACTTTTCAATTAGTCCAACTAGGTTTATGGCCTCATGTACACTGTGTATTTATCCGTGGTGCAGTAGACTCTAGAATTTAGGTGCAGGTGGAAGATACAGATTCAAACATCTAGCGTTGTTGCCAGGAGGCACAGCGGGTTCTGTGTGAAAATACCCTGCTTGATCCCCCACCCTCCCCACTGTACGGTGATAGAGGTAGAGGAATGCAGCTGGCTTTTGTCTCCTTTCAATGCTGGCTATGCTGCAGGCTGTGTGTAATACCCTACTCACCTCCTCCTCCAGCAGCAGAAGTTTGAACTAATCGGTAGCAAGGGGGGGAGAACAGAGAGCTGCTCCTTCCTTTTCCCTCAATGGATTATGCAAACAGAAGAGGATCATGGAATATGTAGTTCAGAAGGAGTACAGGTCAATGCAAGTTAATGGAGATAAATGGGCTGTGGACTACAAGGGTACAAGGCTTTGCATAACAGAGGAGGAGAGACAGGACTTTTCCTGGGCACTTCTAGAGTGATCGAGGTCAAGCAGATTGTGAAGACCTTCCATTGGGCCTGGCAATGCCAACTAGAGAAACAAGCTGAGAGACTGAGCAACAAAAAGTCACTATGTCCTGGGACCAGAGCTGGGGAGACCAATTGCCATGTGTGCCTTCATCAGTGAGGACCTGATTGTGTGGACTTGATTGGGAATACCTGATCATGAGGATTGAGACTTCTAGAACAACTCACTGCCTGGACCTGTTGCATGCTGGTAGTGGTGAGCAGAACTACCTAGCATATTCCTTGCTGCACACAGTGAACACCAATAAAGACTGCTCCTTACTTAGAAACCGATAAGCCATCCATTGTATTACCTTAAAGGGACAGATTACTGTGCACCCTCCCCACAGAAGGGCCCCAATGCCAGCCAGCCTAACATTTCACACTAAGGTCCAGGTATCACTATAGTGTACACATAAAGAGATTTCTTTTTTTAGGTTAATTAATGCCTATACCTTTATATGGGTTTTTGGGAAGAGGAATTGATGGGCAGAGGAGCCAGAAAGGCAGCAAATGTGGGGGTAAGACATTTTAGAAATGTTAGAAGTGCTGGTCCTAAGGCACACTGTTCCTTTTATTCTTGAGGTGGCCTGGGTGGTCCTAAGGCAGGCACCTCTAGCATTATGAGAGAAAGGATGCTCTTTGGCCATATGTGTCCTTTGTGGTCTATAGCATATCTCCCATTGCTCTGGCACCAGACATATCCTCTGTAATCCTGGGGATGCATTGTAAATAAAGAATATATATAGCTTTCTGCTACTTGTACTATTGGCATTGCCTGCCACTGATAAAGTGAAGACTGTACATTGCCTTTTACACAGCACAGGGTTTTCTTTTAACTCTGGATATTTGTGTCCTTTACAAACAATAGCCAAAGAAAACATATAGATTGATCCCATCTTCAAATTAAACTTTGAACTTTAGAATTCTGCTTTAAGGGACAGTAAAATCAGTAGTTTTCCTGAGCTACAACATAAGAAGTCCTGGGACACTCTGATTCTGGATCACAGATCTGCAAACCTGATGTCAACAGAGCTCTTAGTAAAGTGAATGAATACTCTGGTGACTTTTATACTCAGTGCACAGAGCCATATGACCAGCTTCAGATCATTTGTTGTGGAACAAAGGAAAAGTGGGAAATGTTGTTTAGACCTTGAAAATTTGTTTACTGCCTATGCCTTTGTCTACTCAATGCTGACCTAATCTATAAGACTACACAGTTGATGGGTGCAAGGACACAACCAATAACAGTGTTGGTTTAGCCTCCATTCATCCTATCACTTTATATGACTGGGGAAAGTAATGTCACTAAGCTCACCAGGACATGGATTTTCACGTACCTGGTTATAGAGCCTGATATGGAGAGGAAGGCCTCTCTCAGAGCTCTGGCTCAAAGGACCACTGATAGTGAAACAGTGAGGTCTGAGTGCCTGTGGGATGTCCAGCAGTGTGCACAGGTAAATAGCTGGTAAATAGGAACGGATCAGATGGCCCGGACAGCAGATGGCAGCAGGAGCAGACGAAACTGGACTTAGCAGATGACAGGCTGGCAGAAGACTGTTAGCAGGTACAGACTGGAAGGCACAAGCTGGCAGATGACATGTTGAGATCAGGTGGGCAGCATGCTGGTCAGGAGATGCTGAGCAGGCTGATAAGACAGGATGCATGGTCAGACAAGTTGGATTAGGAACAAACGGTAAGATCAGGCATTTATAGCAGGCAGAAGAGAGGTCAGTATCGTCAGAGCAGGCAGGTGAGCAAGAGAGCGAGCAGGATCTAGAGACAAGCCAAGGTCAGGGCAAGAGGCATTCAAGCATAGTCAAGACAAGCCAGGTCAATCACAGCAGTCAGATATGGGAACAAGCACAGGGAATGCTGTAGATCAGACAGCAGCTAACTAGTACAGCCGCTGCACTTATATAGTCCACTTGGTGACAGTATCAGTTGTGAATGCAGGCATGCCTGCGTGTGTGCACTGCAAAAAGAGCACCTACAGGCCCACACTTGCGCATCTGTGTGCACCTAGGAGTTTGATTTGCACTATGGTTAGAGCATCCCTGACATAGATCTTAGAAATATACTGATACATTTATCTTAGTTTACCCTTTCAGATGGGGAGACTTGAGAGCACTTGGCAGACATTGGAAACTTGCCAAGTGTCCCCTTCTAGTAGCTGTGTATTTTAGTCTTAGGAACTTCATCCTCTCCTATGGTTTTTTCCCTTATCTTTATGACTGGGTCATCCACAAACACATGCCCAGAGAATTCAACTGCATTCTGTAGTGATCCTCTTTGCTGCTTCACATTCAGTCCTGCATTGCCATATTCTTCTTCTCTGAATCATTTAGTGCTGGCTGTCTCTCCTGGGTTCTTGCAGCCAGCCCCCTGATATTGCACATATGCCATGGCATTTAATCATGGGGGCTATCTCAATAACTCAAAAGAGACAACCACTTATTATTCCCCCTGATTATGTGCTGCAGCGCATGCACTGTGGAGAACTATGATGCCTCCTGGCATTCATGATGCTGTAACCTAGAAGCCTGCAGGCAACTGGGCACATTATTTTTCCCTAAGTAAGAATTCCAAAAGTGTAGAGAAGATCCCCCCCTCCCCTCCTCAAAAACAGGTATTAAAAAATGTGTCCATTTGGGGGGTTAGGAGTGAAATGATGGAAAGTTATTGGGAAAGGCAAGGGTAAGTTTTAAAGTGGACTTGAGTTTTGAGTTTTTTTGGGAACACAACTTTGATATTTAGACCTCATAATTAATGGTGTTTAGAATTCTGAGTATATGCAAATAAAGTAAATTTACGTCATTGTTTCCAAAAATGTATTAAAAAATTCATTTATGTGAGAGTTTAAAACAATATTGTTCCTTTGGCCACATTCCACATTATTTAGACCTAACACTGTGAAAAGTGAAACTGCTACAGATCTGAGTGAGTGACTGTATCCTCTGGTCCTGACTTCCTAATCATTTAAGTCCCCTGTGATCTGCAGATGGTCTATTAAAGGGTGCATTATGTGTACAACACAGCAGATACCTTCTAAATCCTTCCACCGATGATCTGAGATCGATCAAGATTAGGCAGCCTGAACCTTATCCAACGCTAACGAATGTGAGATGAAAGTCCAAAATCAATATCATGAAGCTCCATCTAATAAATCAGTCTATTCCTATGTATCTGATTTGATCTTCCTTATCAGAGTAATAATTGCACAGTGTTCCTA